GAAAGTCTTGAAATCAAAGAATAATATTAAGAAAAATAACAGAACTACTCAACCAAGACCGAAGACGTAGGACTGATAACTTTACCAGGTTGTATAGGGTGTTAAGTTCTTGCTAAAACAGGCTACTAAAGAAACCCAACAGTCAGATTCACGTATCTACTGTCACATTTTCTCTTTTTTTTTGCGGGAAATACTCGCTAGTAACAGTTGTTTGTGGTTTAAAAGACGAGCATTATTAATATGTAAAAATATATTGTTAATCCCTTTCGAAAATATTTTTGTTTATTAATAGAACGACTTTATTTTAAATAAATAATTTGAAATTTGAAATAAATAATTGGTAGATTTGCACAGTATTAAATGGATGTAAATACAATTATTTCGAAAAAGGATAAAATTGTATGTTTATGTTTGATGTACTCGTCATGCATAAATAATAATAATTTAAAATAACTTTGATTCAATTAGAGAAAAATATTTTTTAAATAAAACTTGTTTGTCCTTGTATTCTAAAAATAAATGTACGGTCTGAATTAATATATCTTAAAATGGCTGCAGCAATCTTTGTCATATGTTAATGAGTTTAATAAATTGGAATAGCAAATTTTCCAATACTCTATTAAAAAAAGGGGGAAAAAGTGGGAATACATATTCAGGATGATGTATCATCAATATTTTAAAAGGGTGTTCTGCCAACCATTTAACGGGGTGTTTCTTAAGAACATTTTGAAATTTGGGTCTTCTGTGTCGAGATTATTAGTTCCCAAAATAGTTATTTTTTCTTGAATCGAATCCTATTTTATGATGGTCTCTTCGCTTAGTTCATGTTTCTAAAGGGTAGAGATTAGAAACCACTGTTTTTATTTCTTTCAGAACTTTTTTCTGCAAATTCCAAAAAAATATACTACAATTATTTCTCTCGACTCTTTAATAACATTTTCATCATCGGTTACTGCGCCTCTATTAAACTGAATTGAAAACCACTATTTTTTTGCCATTTTGAGACTTAAAAATCTCGACAATCTCGACAGAGAGGACCCAAATTGCAAAATTTTATAAGAAAACCCTCCCTTGAATGGTTGGAAGAACACCCTGTTAAAATATTGGAACATCATTACGGAACACCCTGTATAACTGAAGAACCGATGACGTTATAGACGAAAACATTGGTAAAACTACTTTAAAAACATGGAAAAATGCATTTTGTTATCTTGCAGTTACAGGGTGGATATATTTTTATTTATAATTATATATAAAGATATATCCAAATTAAATAATGTACAATAATAAATATTGGATAACCAATTATATTTTAATATTAAATGTATTAATGTATGTATTGATCACTCACTGTTTAATGTTTTTACTTTCAAACTAACTAACGAATAAATTAACTAAAACGACATCTTTAGGACGTTGTGGTAACAACCATTGGACAAATGAAGAAGGTTGTTTCTATTGAGACGTATGAACAAGTACATACGGTAATCTTTAAATCTGGATGTAAGAGTCACGATCTAGAAACCAGAGTAAACCGAAAATGGTTATTTCAGTATGGATTTTAGAAGACCATCAGCAAGAAGGTAACCAACGGGTATCGGTGAAAGTGAAAGAAAATCTAGTATGAGCAGATGTCGCAGATTGGTTCTCTAATTGGCAAAAAGATTCTTAAAGAAAAACACAAAAAAAATATTACGATCGTGGTTGTAGTCTATAAGTAATTAGCACAACACAATTAAAAGTAGAAAACACTTATTAGTGCCAAAAACAAATTAAGGTTTTCATTGTTTCAAGTGCTTTCTACTTTTAATTTCTAAATATATTGCGTTATGCTTATGGACTGGAAGAGCTACACCAAGGTACTTACCACCTACAACAAAGAAATCAGGAAACCGTATCGGCTTCAGGCAATTCTGCGAGGAGATTAACTTTCTATATCTGCGACAGCGAGACTGCACAAGGCCCTGGCAAAAGGGAGAGTTGATACAGTTATGGCGCTAAAGAATGGAAGCTTCACGGAGAGTGAGGAGAAAATAACTCGCCTCTTTCTTGAAACTCATTTTCCTGGGAGCACACCTTTTTTAATAAGGGACACAACTAAGGTAAGCAGAACCTCAAGAGAGACAGCTTTAGTGGCCAAACACAAATGCAGCGGCAATCAGTTAAAGTGTGCCGTGAACACTTTTGAACCGATTAAGTCTCCAGGTGTGGATATGTCCTGCCCTACTTCAGCGGGAACATGGGGAATTACTACTACATACACATAATCCAAATATCCCAGAGCAGTGTGGAACTGAGATATATACCAGAATCATGGAGAAGGGCCAGAGTCACCTTTATTCCAAAAGTAGGGAAAAAGGATACCACACATCCTAAATTCTTTCGACCAATCAGCCTCACATCCTTTGTATTGAAAACAATGGAGAAGGTGTTAACTATTATATCAGAACAAAAATCCTGGAGAGCGTGCCACTCCACCACAGACAGCACGCGTACCGAGCAGGAAGATCTACAGAAATTGCCCTGGTACTCTGTCAAACAAAGAAGCGGTAGTGTGTGCGTTTTAATCATCCGCTTCTGCTTCGGAATTGTCGGTTTTCTTGTTTTAATCTGGCAGGTTAAAACGACTAAACCGACAATTCCGGAAGCAGAAGCGGATGATTAAAACGCACCTGATATTTTTGCTTGCTGCTGTCAGTGTCAGTGAATAATATTTTTGGAGTCACAGTTTATTGCTAAAGAATCAGTTAGCTCACTCGGATCAGTTGAAAGTTCCAAAATAACATCCACTCTAGGGATACAAATTCAGGATACGCAGAAGACTGCTGTTTTATTATAGGCGGTTGTCATATATTGTATTATCCGAGTTGCGCAGTGTATAAACTGGAACATTGAGATCAAAAGTGCCGACGCAGAGTGAGCGATCTGATTCTTTAGCTATAAACTGTAGCATAGGAATCAAAAATAGCCGCGCCCTATGTTGGGCGTGTCGGAACTCTCTCTTGCACCGTATAGTAATCAAAGTATGTGCTTCCTAGGCATAGGAGCGTTTGACAACAGGCCACATGAATTTGTCAAAAGAACACTTGCATACAGAGGAGTAGATAGCACCACATCCAGGTGGATGGCTCAGCTGCTATCTACGAGAACTACAGAGACACAAATAGGGCAGGCCATTTGTACAACCAGAGGATGTCCACAAGGAGGAGTTATATCCACACTAATGTTAATGCTAACCGTAAACGAACTTCTATGCAGATTGACTGATCTCGATATGCCCTGCCAAGTCATAGTTGCTAGAAGCAAGTTTGGAAATATCCTGTGTGACATAGTCTAAAGAGGACTAGACCACACCAGAAGATGGTGTGTTAGTATAAACCCCACGACTAAGAACTAGTTGTCTTTCCAAGGAAAATAAAACTCAATCTAAAAACCGTCAAATTAGACGCGATAGATATAGAATGGAAAAAGAAGTCAAATATCTAGACCTACAACAAACTTTTCTGGAACATACATGAGAAAGAAGTAGTAAATAAGGCCACAAAAGCCCTAATGGTATGTAGAAACATTACGGGTAAAAGATGGGGATGTAGCCCGAATACACTGCGATGGATGTATACAGCAATAGTGAGACCAATCGTCATAGAGTAACAGAACTAGTTTAGCTACTAGAGAGCTAATATCTCAAAAGTACAAAAACTAGCCTGTGTCTGCATCACTGGTGCAATAAGAACCTGTCCTACGGCTGCAATGCAGGTGACCTTAAACCTTAATGATAGAGAACGTGACAAAAAGGACACGATATAGAATGATCATGAACGGAGTAATCAGACCAAAGTCTATTAGCTTCAGGACCGAAGCTAATTGGGATAAGCACCAGGGACAAAGAAGTACAATTTTGTGAAAAGTTAAAAACCACAGAGCTGGGTGGCAAGAAAGAAAGGAGCCAAGAATCCATCTTGAAAAGATATGATTGGAAGGGTCGTTATAGGCATAGAGACATTCCCTTGCTGCATTGGCGACAGAAGGGGACACAATAGAACTTTTAGATCGCAGTGTATTAAAACCCCATTTCCAATATAACCTACCCATGGACTACAACTATGTACCTAGTACTTCCGATAGCGTTTGTTTGATGTTTTTCTTCCTGGTGGTCTTCTGAATCCCAAACTAGAACAACTGTTTTTGGTTTTATTTGTGATTCCTACATCCTTACTCTATGGCAATGTTTTTCAACCTGGGTTCCGCAAAAGGGAGTTTGAGGTTCCGCAGTTGACTACGCTCTCGGTACACACAGAATGATGACTATTATGAGGAAAAGTTTTGGTACACCTCTTTAGCCTGCGAAATGAGATCTTGGTGTTTCTTAGTGACTCCTCATTTGAATTGTCATTAAGAATAACTGAAGTTACAACGTTTGGCATATCTTGCAGATAATACCTCGGAGGTAAACTGCAGTTTTTATAAAAGTTATAGCCATCTCATTAAGATTATTAGAATTTGTCATCCAAGCTTCAGATGAAAAAATGTTATCAATTAATGACTAATGCGTTTTTTTTTTAGTTATTAATAAATTATGATATCTACGAAAATAATAGAAGTGCTTCAGGATTCCTGTCTCTACAAAAGGTTGAGAAACACTGCTATAAAGCATCCTCTTCGCACTCTTAGATTCAGATTCAAAAACTCCTGTTATCCTTGCTCAGGAGACACAATCGTTCAATGTGTGTTTCCACAACGACCTAAGGATGTCGTTATAGTCATTTAATGAGACAAGGAAGTTTTTTCATTTTAATATTGTTGTAAAGCCGTTTATCAATCATTTTAATGCTTGATAATGGTCCGAAACTAGCCGCACTTGATAAATAAAAATGAGTGGTTAAGACTAGTTTTTTCATGCATGCGCAGTTGAGTATGCAGAAGCACTGTATATTGGTAGATGTTGCACTGTCTACAAGAAGTAGACCCGAATCCGATAATAAATTAAAAAAAGAACTCACCTCCTAGACTCAGTCGCTCTCAGTTCTAAATCTCTTTGCTCCTGTTCTTCAGCGGGCTGCTGAGGATGCGGTTGAGGCGGCTGCAGATCGGGGGGCGGCGGGCCGGTCAGCAGCGGATGGCCTAGAGGTAGCGGCGAGGATTGCGTCCTGCCCAAAGGCCGGATAACGCCCCGCGCCTGGGGTTCCTGGAGTTCGCTGATCGTGTCCAGGGGTTGATCCTCGTGCTCACTCTCGATGAGAGGCAACGAGGGGTAGAAGGGTAACGTGCCGGGGAGCATTTGACCGGTGAGGGGCATTCCTGCAAAATAATGAATTTTCCTAAAATTGCGACCATATTTGTAAAACTATTAGAAAACGTTGGCAATTGCGGTAACAGTTACTGTAACTGTTATGGTTCGTCGTCAAAGAATAACCAAGAGACGCCAGTGGAGAATTCTCCTAACTTTTGTATTTCAGAAATTAATAGATATTAATTCATACACGAATGCGAGAAAAATATTATTTTAGTAGTGGTTTTTGAAACTTTAAACCGTTACGTTTCTAATAAGATATTGTGATGTTTATTTATTTTAAACAACAGTTTATTTATTAATAATTTATTTAAACACTTATTTATTTTATAACACAACTATTCTAATTTATATATACTTCGAATGTCTTTAAACTGATCACTATTTATATTCACCACTGTCTATCTACTAATTACTATTTATCCTCACTGTCCATATAACTACTGACTCTGATGGCTCTCCTCCACCAATTTATATACAAATTGGTGGTCTAGAATGCTCCCCCACCAAAATAGCCAGAAGGTACCAGAAACGTTATCACGTTATATTTAGACTAGAAATAGTATCTCGTTGACTCTGGAATGTTCGCGAAAGTGTCTCCACCATAGTCGTCCCATAGGTTTGGTCTTAAGGGGTTTAATTATGTATAATAAGCGGACAAGTTGAGCCTCAAAGGCCAAATAATACAGAGAGGGACTTGGAGTTAGAGCATGACTGAATAATGAAATGGCTCACATTACAATATGTGGCAATGTTGCTTAGTAAACTACTATTAAGAGTTGGGTGAACTATTTCTATTCTTTACCAATTGACATTCTTTACATATTTTTTTATCGATTTCATGTTTTCCAGAAAAAAAAATATTAACTAATATTTAATTTGTTAATGTTTTGATGAAATATAATCTCATACTAATCACAGTATCAATTTATGTGTGATTTAAAAATCACACCGCCGCGCGCCGTTACACTCTGAATTGACGTTTCAATGTTTAACGTTTTAAGCCTTGGTTTCTTTAAACACTTCGTCGCGGTGAGCGGACAGTCCATCAACCGTCGCGTTTTGACGATTTTATCCAACCAGAGTATTTAAATGGGAATGGTTTTCTTGAATCCGCTTAGCTTTGTATATTTTTTTACATGATAATAATGTTATATTTTTTTTTCAGTTCAATAAAAACGTACTTATCTTTTAAAACAATATTTTGTATTTTTTTATCTATTTGCAGTCACTATTTTCACATTTAAAATAACCCAATGAAATCCGTTTACGTACGCTACTGCTGAAGATTCTAATATGAGCGAGAAAGCCTGCATTAGAAAAAGAAACAATGATTTTATTAGAGCGACATCAACATTGTATAGATTTATGCAGGGGTAGCCTATCTGTACATATATTATCTAAGAAAGAGTCTAATTTAAAAACCTTTTGAGGTTAGGCTGGTTAGGTACTTGTTCTTCTTCTTCTTTCTTTTTTGGGCAATATCCTACATGATAATGTACCCAGCCAACTTAGGTACTTGTTTAGATAGGTATGTAATTGTTTTTATCTTAATTATGCTATAAATGTTTAAAATAGAAGTAATCTAATCTACGGGTTATAATAAGAATATATGAAGGATTTTTTCAAAAATATTAGCGATTCAATATAATATTCGTGCGCCTCCATTTGTTCATTCGTCACCTATAAATAGAGGTTTATTTACATTTACATTGTGTTAGTCTTGTAGAGGACTTGTATATTTTTGATTTTTAATTACTTTTAGATAGATATTTGCATTATAAGTGATTTGATGAAGTAAAGTTATTGAGCTACCGTAATATATTTATCTCGAGATTAAAAAAAATGTACCTATGTAGAAGCAGTACCTTTAACATATTGTTACACTACACCCTGCAGTGGCCCGCGACCGTTATAGAAAACGTACAAATATGAAAAGAAGTGCAATGTCACCCATCACACTATAGTGCGCTGCGGTCGTTATAAGTAAAAGTACAAGTAAAAGAAGATGGAATAGTCCCGAAATGTCTGGAAATGTCATTACCCGTCAAGAATATTCTAGATGAGAGTTCGATAAGGGTCAAGCAAGCTATATAAGGATGATCCTGACGTCAGTTTTCAGTTTTATGATAGACGTTACACGTTAATGTTATCAGTTGCATTGTTATTGTTAGAGTTCAGTTGAAATAAATTGTGATACCAAAAACCTGCGTAACAATATTAATTCAACAATATTTAAATATAAAAGGTTAGTCAACATTCACAGAAATACCCATTTTACTCTGTTTATGTTTGGAAAATATTGAAAACTTACTTTTCACATGAAATTTCAACCGCATTAAACACAACAAGACAAATTAGGTAATCCAATGTCCTATCAGAATGGACAAAAATGGCCGATGCTTGGCAAGAACAACAAAGTTTGTTAACCTTACTTTTTCATTAGTATTTGACTGTTATTGTAAATCCTACAATTAGTATTCATGTATTCTTAAAAAAAAAAAAAAATACAAACTTAGACTAAAAACCTCACTAGAAGTGTTTTTGTCAAGGTCAGTACGTACTTTTGTTGTTTTTGCCAAGGATTCACCATTTAAAGTCACGTGATATCGTGATACAGATTGCCTAATTGCGGTTACACAAATTTCTACCTGACTATAACACTATTTTCTTCAGAAGGAGATATCACATAATAAAAGAAATAAACAAATTTAATACGCACAAATAATACAAAAACTTTTGGACGAAATTTAAAATATATCTTCAACTTCTGTCTATACACTTAACTTCTCCGCTGCGCACCGCACTATTCTGGAAGAAGTTCAGGTATTTCTCGAACGTATCAGATGAGTTTCCAGCGTTCTACAGTGTTCGCTTTATATTGCTTCGTCCAGCGGCGTATCGGAAAGGAGTTTCGCAGCATGACCTGACTGGTCGAGGTAAGAGCACACGACATTGCCCCCTTCTTAAGAGATAGTTCCTCCTGAAACTGAATGGTTTTATCTGCAACTGGACCCTTTTTTACAATTTCTTGCACATACGGTAAATTACATAATTATTTTATTTTTTTGGCGAGGTACAGACCTTCCCAAGACCTTTGAAGCATCTAAGAATAACCCTTTTGTCTTTTTGGGTTATGGAGCCAGACTTTGTCGCCTTCCTTAAAACATCCTCCTGTGGCTTGGGTATCCAATAAAAACTTTCACGAACTCTCTGAAGGGGTTTCTTAACACCGAAATGACCTCCTGATGGACTGTCGTGTAACTTACGAAGTACTTCTGCTACTTTAGTCTTTGAAATGATCAACTGGTTTCTGAACAACCATTATAATTTTCAAGTACTCGCTTCCTACACTTCCTTGAGAAAATAGGATTGGAAAGGTCGTTATATGCATTGAGACATTTCCTTGGTGCATTAGCGACAGAAGGGGACACAATATATCTTTTAGGTCGCAGTGTATTACACCCCATTCCCAACATAAGTACTCGCTTTAATAAGCCTTCTTCCAGGATAAAAAATTACAACCACTGGAGAGAGTTTTGATACATCTTGCCAAGTAGGTCGAAGGTTTTCCCCTTTCCATTGTCGCATCTGCTTTAAAACGGGATCTCTTGCTTTTCCCTAATTTTGATAGGGGCCCATTCGTCGTTAACTACCGTTGTTATTCATTCTGCAACTTATTTAGCAGATGTGACCAACCCCTTTCCAACCAGAGTTCGTCATTGCGCTCAAAAGGTTTCAGCATGACAGGAATTCCTTCTTCTATAGTTTGTCAATAAAGCTTTTAATCATGTTAAACAATTGGTCAAATTTATTTTCCCATTCGTCATCTTTTACAGTTCTTACTTCAATGTATCCACCAAAAGCCAGCGGAGCCACTCCAAATTCAAGAGCAGCGTACAAGACATCTATGCAATGTTTTTTGACGGGCTAAACAGAGTGTTCTTTGCATTTTATCGTTTCGAAGTCCATTAACAAATGCTTGAACAGCCAAATATTCAATCAAATATTCTGGAGCTGATAAGTAGGTAAATCACACCATCTTGGCAATTTCCAATAAGTATTCTTGAAAGCTCTCGTCTCGTTTCTGTTTGCGATTTTTTAACTGTAATATCCGAATATATTGATGGTACACAGTTTTTGAGATGTATATCTCTCCATATCTGATTTCCGACTTAAAAACAATAATTAATTTTGATTAAAAATTTTATTTGCCATTATTTTTATGAATATCTAAAATTTTTATGAATATTTGAAATGACCTATTTGTATCAAAGACATATCGTATGTTTTCGATTAATTGCTACAAATCATGCCCAGTGAAATCTTATTGATTAAGCGTGTGGCGTGAGCTAGGCTTCTAGTATGACATCAACGAAAAAGTGATTTGTACCAAATTGTTTAAATTTAACGGATATTTCTCTTTCACGTACTAGGGTTGTAAAAACATAAAATAATAGTTATGCAATTCTCAACCACAGAAACTCACAACTAGTAACTGAAATAAGTTCAGTGTTCCAGACTATTCCGAAATCTCTTTTATTTTATCATAACTAAGAAACAACCTAACACTGCTGCCACATATCAAAGTAGAAACAAAACCTAGGCATTCAAATGGTAGTACAATGAGCCCGGGCGGCTGCAATGCCGCCATGTAAACTCCAGAGGAGAAAAAGCAGGCTGGAACCCAAGCCTGATCGAGGGGAGCCAGTGGCTGGACACAAGTCTAATTGGGGGAGATGCCTGAAATATATAAAAATTTGCTAGCTTATTTCTTTTGGAATTTTCGATATTTATTATTATTCATATTGTTAAGCAGGTTTTTGGTATCTCAATTTATTTCAACTCAACTTTGCTTCCTCTTCTCTAATTACTCGTCCCGAACAACTTGATTACAGGGATCTGGTTGGAGCCAACGGGGAGAATCTGGACCACGGTATGACGCTAACTTTTCAATGTAAACTACCTTGAGTTATTTCCTTCTCACATGTGAAAACTACCTTGAGTT